TCACTCTGGGGACCTACTACTTGTGACTGGCATCTGAAATGAGGGCGGTCTTGTGGGACTGAGCCCTTAACCTGTAGCACCTGACACTATCTTGAGGTAGATGGAGAGTGTCAGAATTGAGTTAAACTGTGGGACACCCAGCTGGTGTCACAGAATATTGCTTGGTGTGGAGAAACCTCACGCACAATTGGTGACTAGAAGTGTCAGAAGTAAAGAGAGTGTGGGGGTGGTGAAGGAGTAAAGGAGACACACAGGAGGAAACACTGAAATTTTTCCAACATGGCACTAGCTTGGCTTTAACACCTCTCCAGCTCTTGGCAGAAATCAGGGAGTTGGTTTGCCACCAACCAAAATTCAAGTAACACTGTTCTAAATCTTTGTTCCCACAGCAACTAAGTGAGAGAATGAGAGGAATTATGAAAGAGCCACATGGTTTATGATGATCCCAACTTACCAGGAGAAGGCTGAGTCTCAGAGACATTTGGTCACTTGTCCAAGGACTCAGGTCACCATTTCTCGCCCATCTCCAACTTAACATTAAATGAAGAAAATCACACCAATAGAGGGGTCCTCTGCCATGTAAATGGGAGATAGCTACAGACAGGGAGAAGAGAAGAGGAGGCATAGAAGGTAGAAGAAAGAATGAGTCATGGAGGAAAGCAAGACTCATTGGTTTAGGAGACATGTTTCAGAAGTTACGTGAGGAAGGAAACTGGTTCAAAAAAGGAAGAACTTTCTAGTGCCAAGGCTGCAAGTGGCTATGTCAGAAAACAGCAAGAGGCCTACCCCCTTTGTTAGTTCTTTTATTTGCTTAAGATACAGTCTTTCCTCCTTGGTATTGGCTTTTCCCAAATATGTAGGGTTTCCTGACTACATGTTCATGTTTGGGGACAGAATTCTGTTACAAGCTGAGGTACAATGACTCCTAAGATGCTTCCTGAAATCCCAGTATGTCTTCAGACAGCTGGGAGAGGCGACTTATTCTCCTAAATGGCCTCCTCCCCCTCCAATCACTACAAGCCTTGAGCTTTTCGAGGGTGCCAACATGGGAGAGGGGGGCCGCTGTAGGTGGGAACTGAACCAGATGAAGAGATTGAATGTGAATCTAGATTAAATCTGGGAGGAAATGTTTGCACTTGTTATTGGGATGTGATTTACTTTTGGGCCAGCAGCCCTCATGCTGAGCTTAAGGCTTGGCCACTGGAGGTTCAGCCACTCAACTCAGGTTAGAGACCCATCAGACCACATAAGGTGCTTGTCACAAAGGCAGATCTCCCGGTGTGATTCTTCAGGTGTGAGCTGATTCTCCTGCTAGAGATCTATGGGCTACATTTTGCCAAACACTGAGCTGGTGCGTCCCAGGGAAGTGTGGACAGGGGGGAAACGTGAGGGATGCTCTCAGCCAGGATATGGGGGTGTGTCCAGGAGGCACCAGGACTCCTTTCCATCGGACATTCCCGAGAAGGAAGGAGGTCAGCCGGGAGTTCCAGTGGCATGAGATCACAGACTCAAAGACATGTAGAATCGCAGAAACATAGGCTCTTATTCATAATGGAATAAAGAATCGTGAAATACTAGAATGCAGGGCTCAGTTGGGAGAGCATGGGACTCTTGATCTCAGGGTTGTGAGTTTGAGCCCCACGCTGGGCATGGAGCCTTCTTGAAAAAAATAAAATAATAATAAAAATAGAATGTGTTTGCAGTAGAGCTTAGCAGTTAAGAATAAGTCGTATTTGGAGTTTGACTTTGCTTCATTAGCTGAATAACTGACACAGAGTTACTTCATCTCTCTGAGCTTCTTTCCTCATTCATTGAATGGGCATATCCAGAAGTATAATATAATGCTCTCCAGCACTGTTGTGACATATAAATGAGCGAGAGTGTTCAAAGGACATGGCATTGAGTCTGACACAGGGTAAGGGCTCCAGATGCTCTTATTATCATTAGCAAGGTCAGAGGATCTTAGAACCAAAAGTGATCATGGAGATTATCGAGTGAGTCCGGTGGCCATGTAAGTGACTCCCAGGGGAGAGGGATCAATAAAGGAAGAAGACTCCCTTGGTTCAGCCTCTCCTACTGGGGTGCTCCCCAGCCGAGGGGAGGGGCACTGTGGCTATCAAGGAAGTTTGGAGGGCCAGCTCCTTGAGACTGTTCAAACCGGACAATGTCATCTTTCTTTGTTTCCAGATCCCCCCTTTGCAGAGCTCACATGCCAGGTGTTTGTGGGCACCAGCAGGCTCAGCTGGGGAGAGGGGGGCTGTGTCCTCCCTTTCCCCTGCTCCGGTGTTTAATCAAAACAGTATTCAAAATACGATTCTGGGAGATTATATTGGGAGATTTGCAGGAGGCTGTCAGTGGGGGCAGAGGTGGTGGGAACAGATTGCCACTGGGGGCCCGAGGCTGGGATAATCGCAGGCTCAGACGTACCTTTCTCAGGCCTCCACCCTTATTCCTGGAGCTCCCCACCAGCAACGGAGCAGACACCGCACCAGGATGGAGCACCAGCTCCTCTTGGTATCTTACAGCTGGGGAAACTGAGAGGGGAAGGGGCGTGTCCACAGCCACAGCAAAGCAGCCATGGCACTGAGATGCTCAAGCTCTTTTCTGAGATTCCAGCCACTCTTTTCTGCCCTTTCTATACCCACTGTCTGCTGCCAGGCTCTAGGCCTGGATCCTGGGACAACCCTAGGCTGCAGGCTCCTGCTCAGAGTTGGGAGAGGTGGGGAGCACCTAGGCCTCATAAACAGGGGCTGGGGAGACGACTTCCTGAGGTCCTGGCTGGGGAGGCAGGCAGATCCAAGGGGGCCTCCTTTCCCAGGACTCACTGTTCTATAAAAGGCTGGACGGCTGGTCACAGAGTGCAGGTCAAAACTCTGTTGTCCCCCAGGATCAGCCACATGGCCTGGGGCTTAGGTGCATCTCTGCTCTCTGGCCTTCAGTGTCTGTCTCCAGATGCTGACTCAGTGTGGTGTTAAGGGTCCCTTTCCCTTCCACAAAATGGCTAGCTGGAGCCCCACTCCCAGCCGGGGGCCCTCTGAAGGCGCTTCTGCAGACTCCGCAGCCTCTGGAGGGGTCTACCTGGCTCCCCAGGAGGGGGTGGGGTCGAGAGCGCCTTGAAAGAAACCTCCAGCTAATGCTCTTTATTACAAGCGTTAATCCGGCAAAGCCGACTGGAAATAATGTTTATCTTTTCGCAGTTTAATTTCCCGGACCCTAAGCCGCGGGTCAGTGAGGGCGACTGGAGGTCCCCGGGGAGTTGGGGAGAAGGAGCAGCTGTTGCCCAGAAGCAAAGTGGAAAGCAGGAAAGGGATCACCCAGGGGAAGCGAGGGAAAGGAGCATGAACCGGAGCTGGGGTCCCTCTCCACCACGGATCCCCGTGTGACCCTGAGCCAGTCCCCTGCCCTTCCGTTTGGCCTCAGTTTGCTCATCTGGGGAAGAGGTTTGTATTTTGTAATTCGTGATCTCTAAAGTCTCTCCCGACCCCCATCATTCTATTAAAAAAGAAGACAGCGTGGGGCTGGGAAGTGGCTTGCCGGCCGTTCCCCACTGTTTTTCCAACCGCTCTTTCTCCGCAGCCTCCAAGGGGGTCTTACAGTCTCTCCCGAGGAGGTGAAGACTCAGGCCCTTCCTGCCCCAGACGTCACTGCCAGGCCCTGGTTTGGAAGCCGTCACCCGGCCTGGGTGGCCCAGGCTGGAGCCCAGCGGTGGAGACGCAGCTCCCTCAGGATCCGGTCGGCGGGTGCACACCCCGGCTGTCCTCCTCCTGCCTTCCCAAGCCCGCATCAGCTCCCCGCCGCTCCCCTCTAGAGCGCCATGCCGGGTTCACCTCCCTCTCTCCCCACGAGCAGGGGCCAGGTCCCTCGCTGGCTCAAGCCCGAGGCCACCAGGCTGGGGAGGCGAACTCGCGCCAGGCGCAGGCGTCTTCCCAACCCTCCTCCCCCCAAGCCCGGTTCCAGACGCTGCTTGCCGCGGGGCACCGAGTCCCCTTCCCAGCCCGTCAGCTCCCATTGGTTGGCCTGTACCGGAAGTGATTGCTGACACTTGATTAAATGGAAAGAATGCTCCCTCTTGTCTCCCAGGGACCCAGCAAGCTGTCACCCTTTGCCATTTGGTCCGACGGGAGGAGCGCGGGGATCCCAGCTGGGTGCCAAGGGTCGGCCAGGATTAGCCCCATTGCCCCTCCTCCCAGTAAACTAAAACCCAAGTAGGAGCCCGGAAACATACAGTTTCCAAATATCCCGACTGCTCCCCCACCTCCGACCTCCCAGTTTGTGCCCCCCTCCTCCAACGCCCACGAATCCGCCAGACGTCTCCCGGCTGGGCGAGTTAGGTACAAGGCAGCTTCAGAGGGGCTGCGCGCTAGGCGCCACGGCCTTGACCGTAACCTTGCCAGTTCCTCTCCCTGCCCTGGAAGGGACTGAGGTTTTGCCGCTCACGCTGCCCCGTCCCCGGAATCCCTGGCCGCATTCCATCCTCCCCTCCACCTTGGCCTCTCCCAGCGCCCCTGGCACAGACACGCCACACAGGTGGGGTTTGGTTTGATTATTTTTGAGGACACAAGGAATGGGGAGGAGAAGACCCAGGTGGTCCTTAGGGGCCAGGTTAGCGTTGAAATTACACAGTGAAAGGGGGCGGGGTGGGGGTGAGCAGGAGAAGGAGTTGCTTCAGACCCTGTATCAAGAGGAGGGAGGGAGACTTGGTGTACCGAGTGGGTGCACAGGGCAGACTCGCCCAGCCTTCCCACTTGGCCTTCCCCAAGGTGCCCTGGTGCCACCGCCTCCCAGCGGGTCTGACGCGTTGCACGTCCGCCTGCCACTCCCAGCTCTGAGTGCAAGAAGAGCCGGTAGAAGGGTTTCTGTGTGTTTTGTCTGTCTCTTAGGTGAAGTGAGAGCCCCCCCGCCCCAAGCCCCTGGCCAGGTCTCCCAGCTTCTGACCATGGAAGTGAGTTCGAAAAGTAGGGCTTCTTTCCAAGATCCTTCCGCAAATCGCAGCCATTGCGCTAACCTGCTGAGAGAGGAAAGGTTGATTAAAACCCGAAGGGCCGCTTGGTGGCGATTTCTAGGAAATCGGAGGTCGCTGGTGTCTCATCCGAAGGGAATTCAAGGTCTAGAGGCAATTTGCTTGCCAGAAGGAACTTTCGGACCCCGTTATGTGTAAATTCAAATAACAGCGTCACCCAGTTTTCTCAGCCAGTAGCTAATCCTGAGAGAAATTACTACAAAGAGCAGAATCTGACAGTAATTGCTGGAGGCTGCTTGATGCTTGGGGGATGTCCCTTTGTGGGGTACAATTTCCTTCCACCAGGCACAGCCAGGGGTCGGAGACACTGATTGGCAGTCACCCCCTGCAGGCGGTGAGCTCTGGGGGGGTGAGTGCTCTCCAGGGACAGCACCAAGCCTGGGCTACACTCCCCAGGGGGTTTAGGGGGCCTCGGGCAGGGCTGCCCGCTGGACTTCAGCACCGGCCTTAAACCAATTTCATGTCTCTGGCCCGTCCCCCCAGACTTCTTAGAAAGCCCTGGTTCCTGCCCAGCCCTAGCAAAACTCTTGGTAGAAGAAGGGCAGGGGCCAGCTGGCCTCCGCCAAAGGACAGGCAGGGGACAAGGGTGTCTGAGCCAGAAGGTCATGATGGTGCCCATCTGGCCCATTCCGCAGAACGAGGGACACCAGGGCAGAGAGCTAGGTTGCCCATCTTCTCCATGACTTTCTAAGTGATCCTAGGTAAGTTACCGTCTCACCCTGAGCGTCTTACTATTATTTGGTTTTAAAAGGAGGGGGGCCCAGTACTTTTAGTTCTAAGCTGCGGTTTCAGGGAGAGCTGCGGGCCAATCGCGCGCCGGGTCTGAACACCAGCATGCGGGAGAGGCAGAGAGGCGGTGCGCTGGCTGGGACTGACGCACCCCAGCGCCGTTGGGGACCCACTACCTTCTGCTCCAGACGGGTACTGGTAGGGCACTGCGGGCTCCCTCCGCCGCGGGCACGGCGCACAGTCCATCGGCAGCCCCTGCGGGGCAAAGAGGCGGTTTCCAAAGGCTTTGGCTCCTCGGGAAGACTCTGCGTACGCGGAGTCTCTGGGGCCGGCGGGCCGGTCGCCCGCGCCTGCAGGCTGTCCCGGAATCAGACGGCACTCGGGACTTCGCGGCCTGGGAGGGGTCGGAGCCGCACCTTCGACCGCGCCGGCGGCGGCCGCAGTGTGCGCCAGAGACCAGATGCGCGGTTTCTCGCTGCGGGGGAAGTGCATGGTCAACGTGGGGCCCCCGGGCTCGGCCCGCAGGAAGTCAGCTTCTCCCGACCCCAGGGGCTCCGGGAACGAGAAGGGGCGCGCCGCCAGGCCGCACTCCCGGGGCTGCAGCCGGGCCTCCCGAGCGGCGGCGCAGTACGCGGGCAGCGACTGCGAGTCTTTATGGAACTCAGCCAGCCTGTCCGCAGCTGCGGCCACTGCCTCCTGTTCTTCGGCCTCCTCCTCCTCCTCCTCTTCCTCCAGGTCTTCCAGGTCACTCAGCCGGAGCCCTCGAGCCTCCTGGCTGGCAGTTCCATCTGCAGGAGGTCAGGAGCGAGTGAGAAAAGCCCCAGGCCCCAAGGGAAATCCGCGGGAGTGCCCATCCCCGAGAAGCTTTTAGCAAGATGGCTCTGCACTTAGGGCATTCTTGGCGTTATGCACCAGGCTGACCCAACCCTCTCTTACAGTTGCCCCAGGGCTCCGGCTTGCCCCTGGGAAAGAATTGAGGCCCTAGCTCTGTCCCCACTCCTTGGAAGACTCCTCCTTTCCGGTGGAAGGAAACCACCACTTTTCACCGCCTAGGACCTGGATCTCAGTTTCTCCACCATAAATCAGACAGACACCCAAGGGGACTTCCCCACCCCCCACCCAATTTCAACACCCACAGGTAGGTGGTGTGTATTATTTAATTCAGCAAATATTTACTGAGTGCCATCTATGTGCCAGACGTCGTTAGGCATTTAGGTCTTAGGAATTTAGGGAATACTGCAGTAAGACACTTTTTAGTGGAGCTGCTGTTCTCCAAAGGGGCAGACAGACCTCAAGTACCTTCCCATAGTGGTAAGTATGGCAAACGAAATACAATAGGCCGATGTCATAGGGAGTAACTGGGGAGCTAAGTTAGCCTGGGTGGCCAGGAGAGGCTTTTTCCAGCTCACACTTCAGAAGTCAGAAGAAGCCAGTTAGGTAGAGAATTCCAGGCAGAGGGAACTGCCCAGGCAAAGGCCCGGAAGTCTGGGGTGGGGGTGGGGGGCGGGTACAAGTGCAAGGGTAAGTAAGGGAGTACCACCCTAGAAGCTGTCCCACAAGGCAGCTGCAAAAGTGCAATGGGCCTGATAGATGGCTGGGAAAACCCTAAGCGCGGTGGTGAGCATTTTTGGTACCTTTGGTGTCACAGTTCAGGCAGCCCAGGGACTCCTCTGTTCCACTCTCAGTCTTCCTCTCCTCGCTGCCTTTGTTCTTGGGCGCCCACGTCATCTTGTTCTCCTTCTTGAGGCGCCGGCGCGCGTTGGCGAACCAGGTGGACACCTGGGTGAGGGTCATCTTGGTGATGATGGCCAGCATGATCTTCTCGCCCTTGGTGGGGTAGGGGTTCTTGCGGTGCTCGTTGAGCCAGGCCTTGAGCGTGCTCGTGGTCTCCCGGGTGGCGTTCTTCCGTCGGCCCGTGCCGCTCAACTCCACTGCTCCATACCTGGGGGGAGAACCTGGCTCACAGTTCTGGGTCTGAGAACCTGGGGCTGCAGGCAGGAGACAGTCTGAGGCCTGGAAATGAGATTCAGCGCTCCTCCCTCCTCATGCGCACGCCCCCCCCCCCCAACCCTTCCCAGGCTCTTCCCAGAGGGGCCCTGTGGCAGCGGAGTGGGGAGGACTTGCAAGGCCAGCTACCAATGCACCCCGTGTCTTACCGTTCATACTGGTACTGCCCCAGAGTCGGCTCATAGGGATAATAGGCTCCTGGGTGCGCCAGGCCAGGTGTAAAATTCCCTGCAGCCTCTTTAAATTCATACTGTGGATTCTGGTGGGGGTGGGGTGGGAAGAGAGAATTCAGGACAACATTTGGGGAAGAGGCTGGGTGGCGTAGTTGCTAAGGGTGTGAACCCTGGAGTAAAAGTCTGGTTCAAATCCCAGGACCACCACTCCCATTGGCTATGTGATCTTGGGCACAGTTGTTTAACTTGCTCTATGCCTCAGTTTCCCCTAGGTAACTGGGAATAACAATAGTACCCGTAGGGTATTGAAGAAGAGCATTTGGCAGAATTCCTGGTGCAGACTAAGCAGTACTTAAATATTAGCTCTTACCAGTATTGTTACTACTTGTGACTCCTCCCCAACTCCCTCCCTACCAGCTGGGGAACTTCCCTGCCTTACTCTCTCCTTCCAGAGCGATTTCCTGGCCCTTTGTATCTTTGTGACTTTGGGCAAGGTATCTGAACCCTTCTACATCTCAACATCCTCATCCCCAAACTGAGACTTGCCTACCTCACAGAATTAATAGAAACACAGATGTGTTTTAATCAGAATGGCGTTCTGCAAAGTGTAAAATGCTGCAAAGATGTGTTTTTTCCACCCCCCACCCCCCACCCCCGGCTATACACAATCCTACCCAATTCCTTCCCTGGGAGTTTTGCCTCCTTCCAAGATTTTCCCTGGAGATGTCACACTGAGTTTTCCCCTTTGCTGCAGTTCATGCCCCCCAGCCGGATGGGTCCTGGCTCACAGACCCAGGCTCCGTGCAGTGTACTCACCAGCGCCCCGTACAGCGTGGGCGGCTCTGGGCTGTAGGGCAGGTAGCCTGGGTAGCTCGGGGCAGCTGCGGCGGCGGCGTATGGGGATCCATAGATGCCCAAGGCCGCGCTCAGCTCCGGCCGCGCACTGCCCAGCAGCCGACTGTCGTAGGATGCGCAGCAGAGAGCGGCTGCCGGGGTGGAGCCTGAGGCCACATCTGGGACGGAGCGCGGGGCGGATTCGCAGCAAGTGGCGCTGGAACTTGCAGACACCAGAAACTATGGGGGAGAGAGAGGTGCACTGCCGGATCACTTCCTCATTCCACATTAGCTACATGCCACCGTGTGCGGAGCATTCTGCTGGGATGGGAATTATCTGAAGACGCAATGTATCCAAACCGCCCTTATAGATACTCCTAAAACGTTGCTAAGGCTCCAGAGTCCCAGGGGTCCAGGCGATGGCAACGTTCTGAAAGGCGAATTACAGGAGCCCAACTCCGCTGGTTCCCTCACGGATCCCTCCTCCCGCCCCCCATCATAGGGATCCTACAAAGGCAGAGCTAGAAGTTAGCCTTAGAGACCACCATCACGTCTTACTCCTGCTCCCATTTTATAGATAGGGAATGAGGCCCAGGGAGACTTGTGCCAAGATCACAAGGCGGGTCAGAGGTCACGTTGCAACCAGACCCCACAATCTGGGCAGAAGCTGGAGAACAGCGGTGGGTGTCCCCAGAATTTCCCCAGGAAACCCCTGTCACTGCACAACACCCACCCTAATCTGGAAAAATCGAAGGAACCGGAAGCAGAGAGCTCGGGCCCGCTCAAAGAAGGGAGAGAGGATAAGAACAGAAGTCAACAAGCAAACAACTGAAAAATGGTGAGGAGGGCTCTCGGGGTCACCTCGGATATCTGTACAATAAGGCGGCCTGTCTGGAAGATCTCGAGATCCCACCCACCTCGCCGAGCTCATGGATGGTGCCCAAGTTTCGGGTCACACGATTTTCCAGCTTGCACTGGGGGAGTGGAACGTTCTCCGACAGTGACTGGGGGTGTCGGAGGGGGTCTGTGGTACATCGTACCTGCTCAGTCTGGTCTCCCCCGAGACTCGTGAGAAAGGAGGGCGCTCAGCGGCGGGCGCGTGCACTGGGCACCCGCCCCCCCTCCCCGTCTGTCCCCATCCCCCATGGAGGCACTTCTTACCTGGGAAGCGCTGCCATACGGGTGTCCAAAGTGCGGGAAGGACATGGTGGCTGTCCCTGGACCGCCTCCTTCTTCTCTTGCGAGTTCCCGCCTCAGCCCCGCGATTCTGAGCCTCCAGCCGTGCGCCGCCTCGGTTCCTTACACGGCTGCGGGTGCCCAGCGCCGGGTCCTCCGCCCGCTTGGCACGACTGGAGGCAGAGCCGAGGGCAGGCCGGCTGCCGAGCCCTGCGCTCCAGAAGGCGCCCCTCCGGCCCGCGTGGTCCGGAAGACAGAAGGGCCCATGGATGGGCAAGGAAAGGGAGAGGATGCGGGTTCCCAAAGTCGCGCTGTGGCGAGGCAAGGTGAGGCGCGGCGCGGGGCTGTGCGGCTCCCGAGGTGTCCCAGTCCAAGGTGGCCAAAGGCTCAATGTGACGTCACGGTAATCCCGGGCCGCCAGGCGGGCCCCCGGGCCCTGGGGCCCCGGGCCACCAAGCGTGCCAAGCGCAGCCAGCCCGTGCGCGCGCGCGCACTCTCACCCACACTCACACTTGCTCTGGGAGGTTTGTGCTGCTGGTGAGGAACGTCAAAGACCCCGACCCTCTCAGATGGGCGCTGGATCCTACCCCTTTTCGCCTGAAGCTCACGCGCGCGCGCGCGCACATACGATCCCTCCAAATTACCCGCGAGAAGTAGGAGAAACGCCTCCCACTGTGCGGCGCAGGCCCCGGGCGCAGCTCGTTTACCTCCTCCCCTGCGGCCCGGAGGAGGAGAGAAGCGAGCCGGGCCGCGAGGGGGGAGAGAATACAAAAAGGAGAGATAAGAGAAAAAAAGAGGAGAAAAGTGGGGGAGAAAGGCAAGAGGGAGGAGGAGGAGGGGAGAGGAGAGAGCTGAGTCTAAGTGAACAGAGGCGCGCGGGGGAGGGGAGGGAACGGGGTGGGCGAAGGCTGGGCGGAGGTTGAACACTGGCAGGTGGAGGAGAGCGGCGGCTCGGGGGAGAAGCCTCCTGCCCGGCTCCCCCGCCCCTCCGCGGCGGGAAAGTTTGTTCTCGCCACAGGCCCCGCACTCGTTGGGGCCGAGCCTCGGCGGCGTCGGTGGGTCCCCCGGGCCCGCGCGTCTTTGTCCTCCGGAATCTGGTTCTCCACCCCAGCCTCCGCAGGACTCCAGCTAGCTCCAGGCTCTTCGAGCCCTGGTCCTTGCCAGGGTCTCGACCCTGGGGCTTCTCTGCAGTCTTCTGGCCCTCCAACAGGCCGAATAGCGCCCCCTCGAGGCCATGGTTCAGTTCCCCTCGGACTCCGCCTGGAATCGCGCTCAGTCTGACCCTTGGTATCTGCAGGCGGCGGGCGAACACCCCTAGACGTCTCCTCTGAAGGCGAGGCTTGGCCGCTTCCTGCGCGCCGACCGCTGTGTCCACCGGGGAGCCGGGGAGCCACAGGAAGGCGCCGGGGCCGAGCTGCAGCCGCTGCGCTCCGCTGGGGGTGGCGCTGGCGAGCCGCGGTTCAGCGCGCGGGGACGGCGGCCGGTGCCCCGCGCTCCGTCGCGACGGCTCGGGGTTGGGCCCAGCGATCTGACCACCCGCCTCCAGCCCAGGGGTCCCCAAAGGGCCGGTGAGGGGCGGAGGAGCTCGTCTGTGCCTGGAGGGGGCTGCGTCCTCTAGGCCTGGCTCCGGACCCGTGGCCGCTAGCTTGTGAGCGCTGTAGATTCTGCGCAACCGAAGGCTCAGTCCCCAGGCCGGGAGCCAATGCACCGAGGGCCGCCAGCCCGCGACGTTGGGGTGGGGGCGGGGGCGAAAAGGGGCATCTAGTCTAGTGGGGGGAGGTCTTCGGGGGATGCTGCCGATATCCGAGTGGAACTCAGGCTTTGGGGTTGGCAGGTCAGAAACCTCAAAGTCCCGCCTTTCCCTCATAGGGTCAGGGCACTTTACAGTGTACAAAACGCACTCCCAGGTCCTCGCTGCACCTTCCCGCAGGAATCCCGGGGGGACTGGTTCAAAGGCCCAGTTGTATTTTCTAGTTGAAACGCAAGAACGCGTGGCCCAGAGGTCAGGGAACAACCTGGGTCTCTGTCCTGCGTTTTTGCAAGGCGAAGGGGAAGCCCAGTGACCAGGCAAAGTCTAGGGTCCTGGCCCAGGATCCGTGGCCGCGAGTTTTCCTCTGGAACCTTGCAGAGGGAACCGGTAGGCCCCCAAGCCAGCTACCTCTTTGGAACAACACTGGCTACCCCCGCCCTACCCCAGTAGAGATGGTGCAGAACGGGCCAGGCTCTGCAGACCTTGCAAACCACACACTCCTCCGCCTGAGATTATTGATAGGAGGACAAGCTTCATTCTAAATACTAACGAACGCAGGGAGGTTTCCTGGAGGCCGCTGCTGAGTGTCGTTACCTTGGAGAAACCTTGCGTTCAACCCGGGAAACTCCCAGTTAGAAAAAGAATTATCGTTATGGCCGGATTGATTTAGTGATAAAAAGGCCCTGTAATAGATAGATCCCTTGATTTTTTTCAAAATGCACTTTGGAGCTATCCACACATTTGCAGCGTGGATACAGCTAAGCTTTTTTTTTTTTTTTTAAGTAAGAATTGGAGAGAATTCATTAAATTAGTCCCTTGGGGAAGATTACTGCTAATTAATTAATTGCGAACATTTCCAGAGGGAAGGTATGTCAATTGTAAAGTAATAAAATTAGATAGTTGAAATACTTACTCAGCAACTTTGATCACCCATTCGTTCCTAAGCAGATTTTTTTTTTTATGACAGAAAAATGGGATGGTGGTGAAGAAAAAGCATTAGTTATGTCCCCTGGCGATCTGGTTGCAAAGGAGAAGCTACCATATAGAATGTATTGATTTTTCGCTGATTTATAAGACCTCTGCGGTATCAATGCTGTGTGCAGGGCCTCCAGGCCTACCTCTTGTCTTTGCTCTCTAGGATTAGAGAAAAAACAACAAGATTTTTCAAGAGGAAAAAAAAACAAGAGAGAGAGAGAGGAAAAGCAGTGGAGAAGTAAATTGGGAAGGTAGGACTCTGATGGTTCCTGGGTGTTTTTCTTCTCATGTAGAAAAGGACAACAAACCAAAGAGCAGGTTTTATATGAAGGCAGCTTTCTATTGTCTTCAAAGTCACTTTACCATATCAGAGTGTCTTGGGAAGGAAGGCTGCCACTTGCAGGCATGGGAGACCTTGAGTTCTTTCTTTCTCAGGGAGACGCTAGACCCACAGCAAACTGACCTGGTGCCCCTGGGGTTTGATTGTGACCCCCTGGAGCGTGAAGTGGGGTTCCCTAAAAACAGTTCGTATGAAGTGTGTCCTCTTCCCATTATTTTCAGAGTCTCATCACAAAACAGAGCCAGTGGGTTAAACCAATATGAACCTTTGTCTGGCAGAGACCTCTGGTAAAAACAAGTCTTTCTTGGAAAGTCTGGTTCAAGGAAGTGGTCACTGAATCTGTTCTCATCCTCCTGACTGTGGACAGGCACTCACTTTGGCAGCTGAGGGCTCTGGCTTTTCTTTGCTTTGTTTAGTGCTGATTAGTTTAGTTTTGGAAAAGATGCCCAATTGTGTGTGTATGTCCACCTAGAATTGTACTGAAGCAGGGAGACAAACTTATGAAGTGCAGACCCTCCCAGTTATATTTGAGGGAGTCATTCCACCCAAAGTATTTTACACAAATGGTACAATCCTTTTGTTGGATTATGCAACATGGCCTGATATTTCCTCTAGCTGATCATTAAAACAAATATGAATAAAATAAATAGTCAAAATCCTATTTGGAGCGTGGAGAGTACGCGTCCACATTGTTTAGTTGAAGTTCATGTTGCTCTGCTTTAAATTCACTGAAGGTCTTGAGCAGGCAGAGTAAAGGATGTGTCTTTGAGCAAGAAACAGACTCTTAATTATAGAGAACAAACAGGTGGTTTTCAGAGGGGGGTGGGTGGGGGATGAGGGAAATAGGTGATGGGGATGAAGGAATGCACTTTCTGTGATGAGCACCGGGTAACGTATGGAAGTGTTGAATTTCTATATTGTACACCTGAAACTAATATCACACTGTATGTTAACTAATTGGAATTAAAATAAAAACTTCAAAAAAAAAAGGCAATAAACTCTCTGACAATAAACTTGAATTCAGCACACACACACACACACACACACACAGGAATCCTATTGTATTATTTTGGATTAAATGTCCCTCATTTCCTGATGTTTTATAAAGACAGCAGATTTTACAGGGGGCGGGGGTGAATAACAACCCAGAAACGCCCCAAATCCAGTTCCAATGCCTCAAATCACAGATGAAATGTGTGAGTCTATGGGCACAGTAACATAGATGAAAATGTGCCAAATTATATTTTTTTAAGTATGGATTTTTTTTTAGTGGCTGTTTTTGAAAGGATAAGAATGAAATTTCCTCAGATCTATGCATGAATGGACAAGTGCATCTGGACACATGCATCTATAATTTATACTGACCAGTCACTGCAGGTCTCCCAGGCCGAAATGAACACTAATTGTTCTGACGGAAGTAGTGTGCATGGCATCTGATTGTGAAAGGCAATGAGCCCCTGCCTTGCCTGAGTGCCTACTGTCAAACGCAACCTTGGCATCAGGAGCAAAAAATAAAAAGGCAGTCATTCCCAGATGAGGGTGTTGAAGTCATTTGTCAGGAAGGTGGCAAATGGAAGGAATGAATTTCTGAACGAAGTAAAACAACGAGTTCTAATGCAGAGGTCCTGGTGTGTCGGCAAAGCAGGTACAAACCTGAGCTTAGAGTTAACAATCATAGCTTGTTGATAATAAAATTCCTTTGCATTTCTAGCGTGCTTGGGGAGCTATCCTAAGCACCTCTGCTTTATCCATGTTAAGGCTCAGGGTAAGGAAGTTGGAGACGTGAGAAACAAGTCCAAGATCACATCACCCAGTGAATGACAGAGGAGGGACCGGAATCCAGAATCCCCGGGCTTTAGGTCTTTCTGCAAGAGTATTTCTTTTTTTCTTTTTAAAGATTTTATTTATTTATTTGACAGATAGAGACATAGCGAGAGAGGGAACACAAGCGGGGGAGTGGGAGAG